TGAAGCGCGCGGGCAGCCGCTGCTTCGAGTGTCTGTACACCGACAGCAACCCGAAGCAGGCTGCTGCTGCATGCGTTTTTCCCTGCTGCAGCACAGCAGCAAGCCGCTGCTCCACAAACTCTGCTGTGTAGGCAGCAACTACGGGCAGCATTGGCCGGTGTCTGCGCAGCACGAGCGCCAGCTGCAGCGACGCGCAAGACGCCACCTGAGACCCGCAGCAGCAGCAGCAGCAGCAGCAGCAAAGGACGCATGCATAAAGCAGCAACACTCAAGGCACCGGGTGCCATGCAAAATGCGGAATCAACGCCCCCGCTGTACACAAGCAGCAGCAACAACAGCAGCAGCGGCAGCTGCAGCAGTGGCAACAGCAGCAGCAGCAGCAGTTAGCACAGCACACGAGCAGGCGAGTAGCACCAGCAGCAGCAGCAGTTAGCACAGCACACGAGCAGGCGAGTAGCACCAGCAGCAGCAGCAGCAGCAGCAGCAAACCTTTCCCTCCTGAGCTGCAAGCCTTGAAACAAGAAGAGAAAGCAGCTGCTGCTCCTGCTCCGGCTTCCTTATCAGCAGCTGAGCAGCAAACTTTAAGGAGCGGTTAGCAAGGGCTGAAATGCTGTCTTCAGATAGCGCCCGCAGCACCTGCAGCAGCAGCAGCAGCAGCAACAGTAGAAGCAGCAGCAGCAACGCCAGAAGATAAACGTGGCGGCGAACGCCAACACCCGGTAGCAACAGCAGCAGCAGCAGCAAGAAGCGTTTCGCTTGTAACTTGACAGTAGCGCCGCTGCGCTGCCGGACTGCTTCTGCATTGCTTCATTCAAAGCTGCTGCTGCTGCTGCTGCTGCTGCTGCTGTCGCTGCTGCTGCTGCTGCTGCATACGTACCGTTACGAAGGCGCTGTAGCGCTGCGCAAGCATCTCCTCGAAGCGCCACAGCAGCAGCAGCTGCAGCAGCGCAACTGCAGCAGCTCTGGCGGGTTCTTTCTTATTTTGCTGCTGCTCCTGGGGCTCGCGGTGGGTCTTCTGCTTCTTCTTCGGCTGCTGCTGCTGCTGCTGCAGCTGCTGCTGCAGCAGCGGCAGCAGCTCCGTGACGCGGTCGAGCAGCCACTGCGGGTGCTGCAGCACGCCCTGCAGCTTCCTAAAGGATGGCAGCAGCAGCGGGCCAGAGAAAAGTTCAAAAAGTTGTGCTGCTGCAGCATGCGCTTCTGATCTGCTTCTGGAAGCAGCATGCCGCAGCAGCCGCAGCAAGCATTTGCTGCTGCAGATGGGCGCCTCCTGCGTCAGCAGCACCAGCGAAGAAACTTCGTCTCCTCGCGTGGGGCCCTTTTGCTGCTCGCCTCTTGCTGCTGCTGCTGCTCCCTTGCGCCACGCCTTCACTCCCGACTGCTGCTGCTGCTGCTGCTGCTGCAGCAAACCAGCATTCTTAAGCATCCAGCGCTGCTCTGCGTCCGTCTCCAGCAAAGCGTGAAGCCTGTTGGTGACGTGCTGCAGCGCCCTGTCCCCCACAGCTGCCCAGAGGGGCCAGTCCACGCTGCTGCTACTGCTGCTGCTGTTGCTGCTGCTGCTGCTGCTCCTCTGTTTGCTGCTGCAGGGGATAGGCAACTCCATTATTGCGCTCTCTGCGCCTTTCGTTGCCGCGTGCCAGGGGCCCTTGCCCCAATTGTCTAGCCACTGCAGCACGTCTTCTTGCTGCAGCAGGTCGTCTGCTGCTGCTGCTGCTGCTGCTGCAGCGTCAGAGTGTGATGCAACGAGAAAGGGAGTGCCTGCAGTTCCTGCAGCAGCAGCAGCAGCAGCAGGCTTCGCACTGCTGCTGCTTGAGCCGCTGATGAAGCTGCTTGCGCGCTGCTGCTCCTTCTGTTGCTGCTGCTGCTCCCTCTTCTGCTTTTGCTGCTGCCAGCGATCCCACCGCCTCGCCGACGCGTCCTTGATATGCCGCTGCTGCAGCGCCGCCTTCACCTGCTGCTGCAGCTGCTGCTGCTCATCTTTTATTGCTGCATGGTCGTCATGCTGCTGCGGCTGCTCTTGCTGCTGATGCCGTCGTTTCTGCTGGGGAGGCTGCCGCTGTTGCTGCGGCTTCCTCTGTCCCTCGGCGTGCTGCTTTTGCTGCTGCTGCTGCTGCCGTTGCTGCTGCTGCTGCTGCTGCTGCTGCTTGGGCTTGCTGCCTACATCAGGCCTGCTGCTGCTGGGCTTATTGTCGAATCTTTTCTTGGGAGGGCCCCCACGGTTGTAGGGGGCCCCTCGTTTCCCTCCGGTCCCAGGCTTCCCACGAGCCCTGCCATTGCTGCTGTTGCTGCTGCTGCTGCTGCTGCTGGTGCTGCTGCTGCTAATAGGGGCACTCGAGTGGCGCTTCAGTCCCCCCGGGGGCCTCGAGCCTCCTCGAGAGGGCCTGTGCCCCGCCCTTGCAGCATTCCCTTTACGGTGTACAGACATTGAGGTGCTGCTGCTGCAGCTGCTGCCGCTACTGCTGCTGCTGCTGCGACACCGTTCAAGAGCAATTGCTGCTCTTGAAAAAGACTTTTCTACAGCAGAAGCCCAGCTGCCACGGAATCCGGTAGGACCGATGCTGCTGCTGCTGCTGCTGCGGGGCCCCACAGTGCAGCCTCCCGGCCTCAGCTGCTCTAAATCCTTTAGGACCCCCTCCTCCTTCCAAATCCAATTATTTTTTGGGCTGCTGCTGAAGCAGAAGATGGGAAGTTCTCCCCTGCAGCAAACCCGCTGCAGCAGGGGCCCCTTGGGCGCTGCTACTGCTGCTGCTGCTGCTCACGCCTCCGCCGCCGACTGCTGCACTGCATTTGAACTATTCTCTGTATGTCTGACAAACCTGCTGCAGCAGATACTACAGTTTTTGTTTTGCGTTGCTCAGCGACCGCAAATGGCATGGCAGAGTCGGGAGCAGCAACGGCAGCGTGAGATGCAGCAAGAGCAGCAGCAGCAGCAAGAGCAGCTGCAGCGGGAAAGCTTAATCACCGGCTTCCCATGAAGGCTTGCGCGCTTCAACTGCTGCAGGAGCAGCAGCTGCTGCTGATCCAGCTGCACCTGCTGCAGCAGTAGCAGCAGCGGCATTGCAGGCGTTTCTCATTTCAGCAGCAGAGGCCCCCCATGCATGCTGACTGCAGCACTGAGGCCCTCAAGGTGCAGCAGCAGCACAGCCAAAACCCTCAAGGTGCAGCAGCAGCGCAGATACACCGGGGGCAGCTGGCACAGCTAACCAAGGCTAGCCACAGCTAGCCACAGCTAGCCACAGCTAGCCAGAGGGAGCCACAGCTAGCTACATACAGCCAGCCAGAGCAAACTACAGCTAGTCGCAGCTAACCGCAGCTAGCCAAAGCTAGCCATAGTTAGCCACAGCTAGCTATAGCTAGCCACAACTAGCCACAGCTAGCCACAGGGAGCCAATGGGAGCCACGGCTAGCTGCAGCTAGCCACAGCTAGCCACAGGGAGCCAATGGGAGCCACGGCTAGCTGCAGCTAGCCACAGCTAGCCACAGCGGGCCGTTGGCACCAGCTTTTAGCCGCAGTGAGTTGCAGCTAGCCATTTCCTTTAGAGCTTCTGCACTTTTATTTCTATTCTGTTTTCAAACCTGTCTGCTGCTGCTGCTCTCTCTGCTTCTGATGGGGCGCCCAGAGGTGCTGCTAGACTCCCTGCGTCTTCTGCCGCTGCTACTGCAGCGCTGCTGCAGCTCTTGCAGCGACAGGCGCTGCCCCTGCTGCAGCTTTGCTGCTTGCTGCTGCTGCTGCTGCTGCTGTGCCAGCCCAGCAGGGTCCTCTGCCTGCCCGTCGAGCTACGCACACATTTAAAGGTTTTATTCAAACGGGGCCCTGCCATGCACCGTTTACCTGCTGCTGCTGAATTAGGTTTTGCTGCTGCAGCAGCAAAACCTGCAGGGCCTAGAACGCACCTGCTGCTGCATCTAGGGCCTTGGCTGCATCTGCAACAGCAGCAGCAGCTTACCACGCTCCGGTGCAGCAGCTGCAACCGAGCTGGTGTCATATAAAAGCAAAACTCAGAGTTATCTGCACCTGTACGCTGCTGCTGCTGCTCAAATGCTGCTGCTGCTGCTATTTCGAGCTGCCGCCTTATGCCCCTCTTTGAAACACATGAAAGCAAAACGCGGAAAGAGGCAGCAGGGAAGCTCACATCAGCCTCATGCTGCACTTGTTATATTTGCTTCCTCTGGCGGTGCACTCGCTGCTGCTGTTGCTGCTGCTGCAGCTGCTGCTGCTGCCGCTGCGGCTGCTGCTGCTTCGGCTTCTGTCGGTTCATCTCCTGCCATTTCCGCCGCTTCTGAAGCTACAGCCGCTCGTTTACTTGAGTTCGGCTGCAGCACCTGCTGCCCTCGCTGCTGCTGCTGCTGTTGCTCTTGCTGCTGCTTTTGCTGCTCCATTTGCTGCTGCGGCTGCTGCTTTTGCTGCTTTTCCTGCTGCTCCTGCTGCTGTTCCTGCCGTTCCACCTGTTGTTGCTGCTGCATCTGCCTTTCCTGTTCCTGCTCTTTCTGCTCTTCCACCTGCTGTTGCTGCTGCATCTGCCTTTCCTGCTGCTCCTGCTGCTCCTTCTGCCGCTCGATTTGATGCTGCTGCTGCTGCTGCTGCCTTTCCTGCTGCTCTATGCTGCGGGCCATTCGGTCGATGCTTTGAAGGTACCGATGAGCCACTTGGCCGAACCGCGCGTACACCACAGGCGCCCCCTGCAGCAGCAAAAGCAGCCGCACCGGGTGAGCATCATCATCATCAGCAGCAGCAGCAGCAGCAAGCACGGCAGTCAGGAAGCACCTCTTTGGTGGCCCCTTCAGTCCAGAGAGTCGCATGCCTCTGATGCTTCAACACTACAGCAGCAGCAGCAGCGGCAGCAAGGCAACCTCAAGCTGGCAGCAGCAGCAGCAACAGCAGACTAAACCGCAATGGCGAGAACAGCAGCAGTAGCAGCGGCAACAGCAACACTAGCTGCAGTAACAGCTGCAGTAGCAACCGCAAAGGCAACGTTAAATCGGGCACTGGCAGCAGCAACACTTGCTGCAGCAGCTGCAGCAACAGCAGCAGCAACAGCTGCAAAGGCAGCACTGAACTCTACCTCGGAGCTGAAATCTCTCGGAGATTCCCCACTCCTGCCTGTTGCAAGACGAACACAGGTGCAGCAGCAGCAGCAGCAGCAGTTCGAGAGAGAGCAAACAGCAGCGCAGCAACAGCATGCAGCAGCGGCAGGCATCAAGCGGCAGCACAAGCAGCACCAAGAGCAGATTCAGCAGCAGCGGCAGCAGAGGCAGCATCCGACAATGCAGCAGCAATAGCAGCCGCCGCAGCAGCAACAGCAGCAGCAACAACAACAGCAGCAGCAGCAGCAGCAGCAGCCTCCACCCCACCGAATGAGCCGCGTCCTGACAGTCTCCTCACAGTGTCCTGCGGGCTCAAGTCCTCCTCTGGGCTTTCCTGCAATGACGAAGGGGACGTGTTAGACGCTGCGGCTGCTGCTGCTGCTGCTGCTGCTGCTGCTGTGCCTGTCTCTGTGTCTGTGTGCGAATTCGCAGGGCCGTGCAGCTGCGCCTCTCCGGGGTACTGGGGCTGCCCCGCAGCGCCGCTGCCGCAGCCAGTGAGCAGCAGCCAGTCGTCAGCAGCAGCAGCAACAGCAGCAGACTGCAGCGGCAGCACTCCCATGTCTTCGGACAAATCAAAAATGTCGCAAGTTGGCTGCCGCCCCGGGGGCCCCCCAACCCCAGGGGCCCCCGGGGCCCCCCGGGGGCCCCCCGGGGACTCTTCGCGGTCCAGGTGATAAACTTCTACTGGGAAAGTTTCTTGAAGGCTCTGCGGCGAACAGCAGAAGCAGCAGCAGCAGCAGCAGCAGCAGCAGAATGCGGGGGTCATGAGCTGCAAAAGCGCACCAACAGCAGCAGCAAACCGCCAATAGCAATACAATCCTCGGGGCCAGCAAAGGGGCAGCAGCAGCAGCAGCAACAGCAGCAACAGCAGCAGAGATAGCTTTAGCTGCGTAAAGAAGCAGCACCCCGAAGCAGCAGCAGCGCTTTGCTGCAGCCAGTCTCACTTGCGGAGGGCCACTTGCGATGATCTGGGACGCATTAGCTGCAGACAAAAGCAGCAGCAGCAGCAGCAGCAAGAAATGCTTCGTGTCTCCTGAGGTCTACCGCAGCGGCACTCCGCTGCTTTTGCTGCAGCAGCTGCTGCTGCTGCTTCGATGGCAGCTCACTTGTGCTTCCGCGTGCAGTATGCACGTTGTTCTGCAGCTGCTGCTTCTGCTGCAACTCTTGCTCCAGTTTCCGTTGCTGCTGGAGCTGCTGCTGCAGCTGCTGCTGCAGCAACTGCTGCTGCACTTGCTGCTGCTGCGCCTTCTGCTGCTGCTCCTGCTGCTGCTGCTGCTCCCGCTGCTGGCTCTCGGGAGTCGAAACGTCCGGCGCAGGCTCCTCCCTCGGGCCCGCAACTGGCTGCTGCTGCAGCAGCTTTTCCAAGTGATGAGCTTCCAGGCGTGCCCTTTGCTGCAGCGCCTCAACTTGGCGGCGCAGCAGCTGCTGCTGCACTTCCTGCTGCTGCACCAGCTGCTCCTGCCGCTCCACCTTCTGCCGCAGCAGCTCCACAGTCGGGTCTGGGCTCGCCTCGGGCGGCTTCACTGGCCACTCTGCAATGTGCAGCAGCACGTTTGGCTGCTGCCGCTGCTGCTGCTGCTGCTGCTGCGGCTTCTGCTGAAGAAAAGCTGGGAGGGCTGCCCCGATGCCGCAGCAAGGCCCTGTGTCTGAGGACCTTCTGCTGGTGCTGCGGCCGTCATCATCATCAAGCGTAGCAGCAGCAGCAGCAGCAGCAGCAGTAGCAGCAGCAGCGGCGCGGTTCGCCTCACACAGCCCATCAATATGTGTCGGCTGCTGTGGGCGAAGCTGCTGTTCCTGCTGCTGCTGCTGCTTGTGCTGCTGCTGTTGCTGAGGAAGCTGCGGCACCTCGCCGACTCCGTCAGAGTATATGTGAAAGTTTCGGAGCTCCTTCTGTCGCAGCTGACTCAGCAGCAGGGCTTGTTGCTGCTGCTGCTGCTCTCGCTGCTGCTGCTTCAGTTGCTGCTGCAGCTTCCACTGTAGCTGCAGATTTCGCTTCTGCTGCTCTAGCTTGTCTCTCTCCATCTGTTTCTCTATTTGCTGCTTCAGCTGCTGCTGCAGCTGCTGCTGTATCTCCTGCTGCTGCCTAAGCGACTCTAGAGGAGAGTAGAAATGACCTTCAGCTGGAAGCCACGTAAAGCAGTTTCCTTGCTTCTGCACCCTCACATGCATGCCACCTTGCTGCTGCTGCTGCTGCAGCTGCTGGTGCAGCTGCTGCTGCGCTGCTGTCCCCACTATGCCGTCTGAAGCGCGGCGAACTGGGATATAATAATAAACGTCTAATCCGTCAGGCGCGAAGGAGAAGCGCCGCTGCCCCAGCTGCGGCTGCTGCTGCTGCTGCTGCTGCTGCTGCTGCTGCTGCTGCAGCTGCTGCGGCGGCAGCTGCTGCGGCAGCAGCTGCTGCGGCAGCAGCGAGGAATCCCACATTTGGTGCTCCTGCTGCAGTAGCTGCTGCTGCTGCTGCTGACAGCGTTGCTGCACCTCATGCAGCAAACAAGGAACTGCAGCGCCACTCATGTAGTACTCAGCCTTCATACTATCCTGCAGCTGCTGCTTCGGGGTGGCAGCAGCACTAGCTGCTGAATACCTGCAGCAGCAGCAAAAGCAGCAGAAAGAGCAGCAGCAGCAGCAGCGGTATGTGCTGCTCTAGACGTCAATGAAAGCAGAAGACTGCTGCAGGGCCAAACAAAAGCACAACGGCAGCTGCAGCACTTGCAGCTGCTGCAGTGCTGCGGCGCTGCAGCAGCGACCTGCAGCAGCTCTTTGCTGCTCTGCTACAGCAGCATTTTCGGACGTACTGGGAAGAGTAATAAAAATTGCGCTCCTGAGTTTCGTTTAAACGCTGAAGAACCAAACGCAGCAGCAGGACACGTAATTTCAGGTCAGCAGCAGCACCAGTGTACGCAGCAGCAACAGCAGCAGCAGCAAACCGAGCAGCAGCAGGGGCCGCTGAAGGCGCAGCTGCGCAGCAGCAACGGGACAAGTTCCCGCCGCAGAAAGCCACGGCAGTGTCCGAAGCAGCCTGCAGCAGCTCAAACGGCAGCAGCAGCAGCAACAACAGCGTCAACTGCAGCAGCAACCGCAGCAGTAACTGCAGCAGCAACTGCAGCAGCAGCAGGAGTACCTTCAAAAACCTGTCATGAGAAAGCTCAGGCGCCGACAAAACAGTTCTGGCGTCCTGCTGCTGCATCGTAGCGCCGCGAGGTGCAGCTTTTGCTGCTTGTGCTGCTGCTGCTGCTGTACCTGCTTCAGTAGCCCCAATGGGGGCCTGACCTTCCGCGAGCAGCCTTGCTGCTGCTGCTGCTGCTGCTGAATGTCAACCACTCGCTGCCAAGTGTCCGCTGCTGTTCAGATGGGCGGTAAACAATAGCTGCGTTCACTGCGTAGCTGCTGCCGCTGCTCTTCATAAGGCTGCTGCTCTTTAGCGGTCTGCTGCTGCCCAGTTCGGAGACCGGCTATAAGTGAATTCGATGCGCAGTTCCTGCTGCTGCTGCTGCCGCTGCTGCTGCTGCCGGACGGCATTCGACGCCTGCGCTCGCGCCCCGTCCTCAAGGGAAGTCACTCTGTTTGAAAAAGAAGTAATGGTGGGAAAAGTTGCTGCTGCTGCGGGTGTGTCGTTGCCGCCCACTCTGCTGCTGCAGCAGCTGCTGCTGCTGGTGGAAAGACCAGGAAGGCAAGCAGCGGGTGGCGAGCTGAAGTAGCGCTTTTAAAGGGCCTGTCTCCTGCTTAAGGTTGTGCTGCAGCTTCTCTGGGTTGTTATTTTCCCAGTGCAACGGCTGCATTCGAACTTCGAGCAGCAGCAGTGGCAGCAGCAACGGCACTAGCAGCAAGCCAAATTACATTCCTGCGAGCTGCAAAGGAGGTCCTATTGAGGCCTCTTGAAGAGAATCAATATTTTTGAAATAGGCGCGGGCGGTAAGGTTCTTGCTGCTGCTGCTGCTGCTGCGCAGCAACTCGCTGTTCTTGAGTCGGCGGAAGGCAGCTACGGCAACAACGGCAGAGGCTGCACCAGCAGTAGCAGCAAAAACTGTAGTAAGTATGTGCATATATAGAAATGTTATTATTTAAAAAGCATTATTAATACTTAAGCAGCTTTTTAATCAAACGGCGCAACTTTATAGGAACATCGGCATCCCGGCATGCTGAATGGCAAGAGCAGTAGCAGCAGCAGCAGCAGCAGCAGCAAAGGACTCGGGGCCTCTGTACCGTTTCTGCGCTGTTCTTGCTAGCCTTGCAGAGGCCGCCACACCACAGGCAATAACACCAGCGGTAATCATCACCAGTTGAGGCGCATTTAAAGCTAGTGTACAGCAATTGCTGTTGCTGCTGCTGCTTCCATAGCAGCAGCAGCTGCCTTCGTGGGGCCCCCCCGTGAGGCCCTGCACCTCCAAGGTCCCTCAGCAGCCGTAGCAAAGGCAACCGGCAGCAGCACAGCAGTGAACGGGGGCATTATAGGGGTCCATATCAAGCAACCATCCATGCTGCTGCTGCTTTTGCTGCTGCTGCTGGCGGCCCTGCATAGCGACGCGCCCGCGGTGTCAGTCTCTGGTGCGTTCCTCGAATGCCTTTCCGTGAGCAGCACTTTCTGTGCAAGCAGCAGCATCAGTAGCAGCAGCAGGGGCGCCAGCGGGACCTGAAGCCGCAGCAGCCTCGGCAGCAGCAGCAGCAGCAGCGGCGCTGTCGTTGCGCAGCAGCTGCAGCTGCAGCACTCAAGATGGGGGAACCGTACCTTATGGAGTGTTATGAGGACTGCCGGTCTCTCAAATTCCAACATGGTCAGTACCTGCTGCTGCTGTTGCTGCTGCTGCTGCTTGAAGCATGGTTGAGGTTTTGCTTAGGCCAGAGCCCCTTTGCCCCTTTCCCCTCTGTCTTCTGTCGCAGCCTACAGGCTTTGTCTCGACTGCAGCAGCAGCAGCAGCAGCAAGGCCAGCAGCAACTTGTGCGTGCTGCACTGCTGCAACCTGCTGGCTCTGGGATGCGGAAATCGCGTTTTCCCATATTGCGCTGTCTCTGCTGCTCGAGGCCTTCTCGAGCTTCGCCAGCCGCCCATAGAGGTTTGTTTTGCTGCTGCTGCTGTTGCTGCTGCTGTTGCTGCTGCTGCTCCTGCCTCTGCTGCTGCAGGTGGTGCTGCTGCTGTGGCTATTTCGCTGACGCCGCGCTTCTTTCGCACCTGAGCAGCAGGAAACCCACAGCGCCGCGCAGTGCCTGCCGCCGCAGCGAGCGTTGCTGCTGCTGCTGCTGCTGCTTCTGCTGCTGCTGCTGCTGGTAGTGGCCCGCGTGTTTCGCCTGCCTTTGATGCTGCAGCTGGAGAGTGAAGTGACGGCGCTGCTGCTCAGCAGCTGCTGCCGCTTCCTAGGAGTTGCTGCGGGCAGGCGTGCGCTGGTGCTGCGGGTGGGGGACTGCGCAAAAGCCCCTGAAGCAGCAGCAGCAACTGCTGCTGCTGCTGCTGCAGGAGCAGCAGCAGCTTGTCTGTCGCCCTCGTCGCTGCGGATTGAGGCAGCCGTGCTGCCCGAGAACATTACCGGCATTGCCTGGACAGGTGCTGCTGCTGCTGCTGCAGCTGCTGCTGTTTCCTTGGCTTGATGCTGCTTTTGCTGCTGTTGGTGCTTCGCCTCGCTGCTGCTTCTTGGCGAGCTTCTTTAAGTCGTACGCCAGCGCGAGCATGCGCTGCATCAGCTGCTGCTGTTCCTGCTGCTGCTGCTGCTGCTGCTGCAGGCGATGGGCGGCTGCTGCTGAATACCTACAGCAGCGGTCTCTTCATTGCTGATGGGGGGGGAGATGTGCACCTTGCGGTGTCTCCGGCGCTGAGAATTTCCTGTAGGTTAGAGTTTGCTTCTGCTGCTGTTGCTGCTGCGGCCACCGCTGCTGCCGCTGCTGCTGCTGCTGCTGCTGCTGCTGCTGGTGCAGCGCAGCAGCATACGGTTCCACGGTATGCGTTTCGCCGGCGTATTCGCTCTGTGCACGTCCCGCATGGCTTGCTGCTGCTGCTGCTGCTGCAGCACTTAGCGGGACCACTGGGCTTGGCAAGGAGGGCCCTTTGAAGCAGACTGTGGCTCTGCTCTGCTCCAGCAGTCCTTTGGCTCTCTGGGCTCTGACGGCGAATGTGAAGAGTGGCAGCAGCAGCGGCAGCAACAGCAGCAGCAGCAGCAGCAGCAGCAGCAGCGTCTGCTGCAGCAGCGATTTGTCTCTGGCGCGTGTTGACCTCTCTGGCCTGGACGGCCCACTGGACTTGGAAGCAGCAGCCGTTGCTAAAGGGTGCGCACCGCGTGCTGCAGCTGCTGCTTGTGCTGCTGCTGCTGCTGCTGCTGCTGCTTTTGCGCGTGGTCTGGCTTTTCCCTTGGCTCTGCTGCTGCCTCAGCTGCTGCTGCTGCTGCTGCGACGTGCCTGTGCTTCAGCAAGGGCCGCTGCTTAGGACTTTCTTGGATATCCCCTGGCTTTTCTGCTGCGGGAAACCACGAAGCTGCTGCTGCTGCTGGTCCCTTTCTAGCAGCTTTGTTCGCAGTGCGGGTGGCAGACGTAGGAGAAGACGAGGATGAGCAGCAGCAGCAGCAGCAGCAGCAGCCGCAGCAGTTTGAAAGCGCTGCTGAAGAAGACGCTCAGCTCGAGGCAGAGGATGAGCAGTTTTCTTCTTTGCTGCTCTTCGCCAAAATCGAAGCAGCAGAAACGCCGGAGCAGCTTCAACTTGTGCCGATTGCGGCGGCTTTAAACGAGGCGAGTTGCTGCTGCTGCTGCTGCGCATTGCGGTGCTGCTGCTGCTAGCTTCTGCTAACGCCTTCAAGTGCTGCGGTTTCCCTATGGGCAGCCTGCGGTAGCTGCTGAGGGCCGCTGCTGCTGCTGCTTCACGGCACTTGCTGCTGCTGCGCTGCTGCTGCTGCTGCTGCTGCAGATCTACCTCGGGCGGGTTAGAGCAGCAACAAGTGCTGCTTTTGTCCCGCTGTGGGACTGGGGGGCAGTCTGCGTGAGGTGTACAGACACCACGCAGCTCTCTTTCTTTGCTTGCGACGCCTTTGTGCGCCAGCCACAAGGCAGCAGCAAAAGGCTCTCCTGGGGCGACAGTCAGGAAGAAGCAGAAGGTAAGGAAGCAGCTTCTGGAGCATCGTATGGGGCTGCTGCAGCAGCAGCCACAGCAGCAGCAGTATCCACAGCAGCAGCAACAGCCACAGCAGCAGCAGCAGCAGCAGCAGCGCATGACGGCTTGTGGGTGTTTGCCTCTCGCAGCTGCTGCTCAGTGGGGCTGCGTGGTCTTCGCCGAGGGGAAGGGCCTCGAGACAGCAGACGAGGAGGCGGGGCCTTTGGGCTTGGGGGTTTTCACGGGCTTCCCTGACGGGGTTATGAGAGACGGGGTCAGCGCCCAGCCCGAAACCCTAAACCCTAAACCCTAGTTGTACGTTTCCTCGTGGGGCGGCTGCCCCACCAGCAGCGCATGCAAATCTCCTGCAGGCGGCAGTTGCTCGCTGCAGAGAGATCAGGGTTCAGGGTTTAGGGTTTAGGGTTTAGGGTTTAGGATTGGGGCTGCGTTTTGGCTGCTGCACTCCAGGCCGATGCTGATACGCCTCTCCTGAGCTCCCCTGCTGTCTTCTTCATCGCCGAGTCGACAGGTTAGCGCCTAGAGCTGACTCCCGAGGGTTTAGGGTTTAGGGTTTAGGGTTTAGAGTTCACTAGATCAAGAAGGTCCCCTGTGGTGGAACTGTCCACTGCGCGCTTGCGTATATGCCCGGCGGCAGCCATTGCTGCAGGCTTTGCATTTGCTGCTGCTGTATCGGCAGCAGCTGCTGCACTTGCTGTTGTTTTGGTGGCTGCTGCTGCTGCTCCTGCCGCTGTTGCGGCGGCACTCTGCTGCTCCTGCGGTGCCAGCTGCGGCTGCAGCTGCTGTTGCTTGGGTCGCTGCTGCTGCACCTGCTGCTGCTGCACCTGCTGCTGCTGCACCTGCTGCTGCTCATCTGGCTGCAGGAGAAGTGACTGTCCACTTCGCTGACCGCTGTTTGGCAGTGGTGAGAGATACGGAATCCGTAGAGCTTCCGCTGCTGCCGCCGCTGCAGCAGCACCCGCAGCAGCAAGACCAGCAGCAAATGAAGTTGTGGCTGCAGCGGCTCTCTGGGAAGCAGCCGCTGAAGCAGGGGGCAAAGCTGGCCGATGCTTCAGGCGAAAAGCCCAGCAGCAGCGGCAGCAGCAGCAGCAGCAAGCACCGCAGCAGCAGCAGCAAGGGCAGCATAAGCAGCAAAGGAGATAAGGCACGGAGCCACAGCAGAAAGCCAGGCAGCACCAAGAGTGGTAGGAGGGGCAGCACCAGCAGCAGCAGCCGACAGGCTGCACACGGGAGGTGGCGTGGTAGCAGCAGCAACGCTGGGAAGAGCAGCAGCAGGAGGAGCAAGCGCGATGAAGAAAGGCACAGCAAGCATAGCAGCAGCCGCGCTGCTGCTGCAGACGAGGAGCGCTGGAGCAGCAGCAGCAAAGCAGCGAGGGAAGCCACTCTTGCGGCAGCAGGGCAGACGGTGCGTGCTGCTGTGTCCAGACGCAGCAGCAACAGCAACAGCAGCAGCGTGCTCAGCAGATGGCGGCAGCGGCTGCAGTCCTCTCCAGAACACCTGGAGGTGTCGGAGCTTCTAAGACGGGTGCGTTTTTTCTGCTGCTGCTGCTGCTGCTGCTGCAGGGCGCAGCAGTGGCTGCTGCTGGTGGCCCTGCCCCTGTCCGCGTTGCTGCTGTTGCTGCTGTTAGTGAGGCTGCTGTCGCTTTTGCCTCGATTGCCTGCGCTGTTGTTGCTGCCAGCTGCGTGGTGTCTTTTCAGGTGGCCGACGGCGAAGAGCTCTTTGGTGCCCCTGGATCTCTCGCTGCTGCTGTTGCTGCTCCTCTTACTGCTGCTCTGCGTGCATTCGAGTGGCGCCTAGCTGCTTCTGAGGTTTGCTGCTCTGCAGCACAGGATTCACTTAGGCACCAGCTGCGGCAACTTGACCGGCATCAGGTAGAGCAGCAGCAGCAGCAGCAGCAGCAGCAGCCGACCTTGGCTTCGCAGGTGGCGGGGCTGCAGGCGGCAGTCCAGCAGCTGCAGCAGCAGCAAGAGTTGCTGCTGCAGCGAGTGTCTCACCTTCGAGACACGGAGGAGACGCAGGCCAAGGCGAGCGGCAGAGTGCGACGCATTCTCAGCAGGCTGTTGGTGCAGCAGCAGCTGCTGCAGCAGGAGCTGCAAGAAGGCGACAGCCTTTTGGCTCTCATGGCTGACGAGCAGCAGCACTTGGAGGACATTGCGCTGCTCCTGCCTTCTGCTGCTGGTGGCTCTTCGCTAGAGGAAAGGCAGCAGCAGCGGCTGGGTGTGAAAGAGCGGGCTCGGCAGCTGCGGCAGCTGATGCTGCGCCTGCAGCAGCAGCAATTAATGCAAGTGCAGCTTTATGAAGAGCAACTGGCGCTAACTGAGAACTTGCGAGAGTTGCCGCCTCAAGATGCGCAGCAACTGGAGCAGGAGCTGCAGCGGTACTTTCTACCCCTCTTGCTGCTGCTGCTGTATTTGCTGCTGCCCCTTACACTGCCAGTTTTTCTTCTGCGCGTTCCGTGTCTGCTGCAGTGTTTGCTTCTCGTGCTGCAGCTGCAGTGCACGCTGCAGCGGCTGCTGCAGTGTGTTGTTGTGCTTCTGCAGCCTCGGTGCTGCAGTGATGCAGCAGCAGCGGCGGGTGCAGCTGCTGCTAAGCCGCGCTGACGCCTTGGCCTTGGAGGCTATTGGCGATGCGATCCCAGACGCGACACATTCGCAGCAGCTGCTGCTGCAGCAGCAACAGAAGCCAGCCATGCAGGCGCCATCTGCTGCGAAAAGCAGCCACAGCAGCAGCAACAGCAGCAGCAACAGCAGGCAACCGTGCAGACCTGGCGCTCGCTTCATGTTGCCTTCCACTTTCCTAGAGGCGAAGACGGAGGAGCCGGTGCAGCAGCAGGCCAGTGAATCTCAGTCCGCCGCAGCAGCAGCAGAGGCAGCAGCAGAGGCGGGCCGCGATGCAGCAGCAGAGCAAGATGTTGCTCAAGCTATACAGACACTGGGAAGTCGCATGAGGGAGTCACTTTTCATTTGCAGCAACGAAGGTCCTGCAGAAACTGCAGCAGCAGTACCGGAGTCAACATCGGCGCAGGAAGTTCGTGCTGGTAGCTGCAAGCAGCAGCAGCAGAGAGAACACCAGCAACTGCTGCTGCTGCAGGAGAAGCAGAAAGCTATCTCCGAGCTGATGCAGAGAGCCAGGTGATGCTTTGCTGACTCGTGCTGCTGCTGCTGCTGTGCATCTTTTGGAGTTCTTTGGGTTATCCGAAACGGTTGGGCGTGATGTGTTGTGTTGCTGCTGCTGCTGCTGCTTGCTGCAGGCGCCTGCAGCAGGATGCTGCTACTCTAGAAGAGTCTCTGTCTGCTGTGGAGCAGCAGGCAACGATGGTGCCCCCATCTCAGAAGCACCCTTGTGCAGAGTCAGAGGAGCTAGCGCAGTTGGTGCAGCAGCAGCAGCAGCAGCAGTGGCTGCAGCTGCGGCTGGACTCTGCTCTCTCCCCTGCGGGTGCGGCAGATGCCCTCAAGTCTTCGGAAGCCACTTCCCCGCTGCAGCTGGTGCAGCAGCTGCTACAGGAGGAGGCTGCTGCCCGCGCGCGAGAGGCAGCGGGCCGCCGTGCGCTGCTGCAGCGACTGCAGCAGCAGCAGCAACAGCAAACAGGCTTCTCTCCAGGGGGAGCAGAAGGACTTGGGCCTGCAGAGGAGGAGGCAAGCCTTGAAGAAGATAAGACCGCAGCAGAGCTGCAGCAAGGAGGAGATCTGGGCGCTGAGTGGGAAACGTTAGGCAGCAGCCTAGAAGGCTGGAGCGATGTGGAGTGCCTCAGCAGCAGTAGCAGCCGCAGTAGCAGCAGCAGAAGCAGCCGAAGCAGCAGCGGAAGCAGCGAGAGCAGCAGCTGCAGAGGATCCCTCAGCGGCCGCGGGCGCGGCAGCAGCAACAGCAGCAGCAGAAGGGGCGGCGGTCTGTGCAGCGACAGCGACGAGCTGGCGGGGCGCATTTCCGAGAGCGACAGCCCTAGTGCTGCCCCTGCGAGGCCCCCAGGGGCCCTTCTGCTGCCTGCTGCTGCTTCGAGAGAGGCGGGGGCTCCAGGGGGGCCCCTGAAAGCAGCAGCGGGGACCCCACAGACTCAGCCAGCCCCTACAGGAAGTGCCCTTAAGGCAGCAGCAGCAGCAGCAGCAGCAGCAGCAGCTTCCCCCAGCCCCACCACAGCGGCCCCAATGCCCCCAGTCCCCACTAAGGCTTTCTTTCCTCGAGCTCCCACCAGAGCTGTGCTGCCTCCAGACCCCACCAAAGCTGTGCTGCCTCCAGACCCCACAAAAGCTGTACTTCCTTCAAGTCCAGCAAAAGCTGTACTTCCCCCAAGTCCAGCAAAAGCTGTACTGCCTCCAGATCCCACGAAAGCTGTATTGCCTCCAGATCCCACGAAAGCTGTATTGCCTCCAGATCCCACGAAAGCTGTACTGCCTCCAGATCCCACGAAAGCTGTATTGCCTCCAGATCCTACGAAAGCTGTATTGCCTCCAGAGCCTACGAAGGCTGTATTGCCTCCAGATCCTACGAAAGCTGTATTGCCTCCAGATCCTACGAAAGCCGTATTGCCTCCAGATCCCACGAAAGCTGTACTGCCTCCAGATCCTACGAAAGCTATATTGCCTCCAGATCCCACGAAAGCTGTACTGCCTCCAGAGTCCAGCAAAGCTCTGCTGCCCCCAGACCCCACGAAGGCTGTGGCGGGGCGGGAGCCGGCGAAGGCGGCCTCGGAGAAGCCCAAGGATGGCGTGGGGGCCCCCAAGGAGGCTGGGGGTGGTGCCCCCAAAGAGGCCGGGGCGGCTGGCAGCAGCGACGGAAGAGCAGCAGAGGAAAGTGCTGCTGCTGCTGCTGCCAAAGGCGACAGCAGTTCCCTCAAGTTGCCGTTCGGCACTCTCAGTCAGCCCAGCGCTAAGGGGGGCGCCGAGAGCGGGAGCTCTGGTGGTCTTTTCGGCAGCAGCAGTAGCAGCAGCGGGGGGCTCTTTGCCCAAACCGAAGCCGGCAGAGAGGGTGGCCTATTCGGCAGCAGCAGCGGCGGGGGTGGCCTCTTTGGCAGCAGCAGCGGCAGCAGCGGTGCTGGTGGGGGCCTCTTCGGCAGCAGCAGCGGTGGTGGCGGCCTCTTCGGTAGCAGCAGCGGCGGAGGCCTCTTCGGCAGCAGCAGCAGCAGCACTCCACAGACGTCACGCCAGCCGCCAAGTCTGTTCAGCGGGGGCTTCGGCAGCAGCAGCAACAGCAGCACGGCATTAGACATTAAAAGCATAGGGCAGAGCTTGGCAGCAGCACCAGCGACGCAGGCTTCCGGCTTCGAAGGGTCTTCACTAGCCTCGGGGCCCTTCAGCTCCAGTGGGCCCTTTGGAGGAAGTGCTTCACAGGGGCCCTCCACGGGTGGGCTTGTGGGGATCCTGGGGCCCGGCATCTTTGGCAGCAGCAGCAGCAGCAGCAGTGGCGGCGGTGGCGATACTGGAGCAGCTGCCAATGCAGCAGCGGGAAGAGCCCAAGCAGGCGCTGCCTCTCCTTTTGGCAGCTCTCTTTTCTCCCAGCAGCAGCCGCAGCAGCAGCAGCAGCAGCAACCGAGCTTTTCGTTCGGCAACATTAATGTCAGCGACTTGTCAGTGGGGCAGCGCCAAACATACAACTTCGGGCTGGTGAGTTTCGCCTGCGCTGCTTTTGCTGCTGACGCTGCCTTTGAGCTTCTGCAGTTGCTGCCAGCTGAAGCAGCAGTGGCAGCAGCTGCTGCAGCAGCTAACTTGCTGCTTCCTTTTGGCCGTTATGCCTGTTTGCTGCAGTCCACCAACAGCAGCGGCCTGGGCGACGTCCAGCTGGGAGGGGGGCCCGATATGTCAGCAACCCGGTCGGCCTTTTCTAACAACCAGCAGCAAGGTGTGTGGCTATATCATTTGCTGCTGTTTGTGTTGCCTGCTGTGCCTAGTGTCTTTTGGCCGCGCTGCAGCAGCTGCAGCAGCTTTTGGCCCCACTGCAGCAACTGCAGTAGCTTTTGGCCCCGCTCCAGCAGCGGCCCTGGTGCTTAGGTGTCTTGCCTGTTTCAGCGTTGACAGCGTTTTTGGGGCCGCGCAGGGTAGCAGCTGCCCCTGTGCTGCTGCTGCTTCACTTGGGTCTAGTGCTGCCGTTGCTGCTGCTGCTACTTCTGCTGCTCTTGACGCTGCCGAGGCGTTGCTCTGTCATTGCTGCCTGCTGCCGTTTCAGGCGGCTTTTCTGCATTTGCTTCACAAGGGACTAGCTTTGCCTCTCTGGCGCAGCAGCCGGCGTCGGGGGGCTTTTTCGCTGCAGCAGCAGCAGCAGCACAGCAGCAGCAGCAGCAGCAGCAGCAGCAGCAGCAGGGATTTGGGGGCTGGGGGCTGGGCACCCAGGGTGCCAACCTCTTTGGAGGAGCAGCTTCTGGCTTCCCAGGAGCCACTCCATCCTCCACAGTTGGCCCCAATTCAGCTTCAGCAGCTGACAAGAGTATATGGACGCAGGCGAGATCTACAAACCCGCTTGACTAATGGCCTTTCGCCGGCCACCCGGGGGCCTTCCACCGCCGTGTTCTGCTGAGCAAGCCGGCTAGCTAGCTGGCTAGCTAGCTAGCCAGCTGCGTAGCCAGCTAGATGGCTAGCTAGCTACACAGCTGGCTAGCGACTGCTAGCCAGCCAGCTAGCTACACAGCTGGCTACCGACTGCCCGGCACGCAGCAGCGTTCACACCACACCGGAAGGAGTGCCCGGCAGCCACTGCGGCGAATGTTTCGCCGCTCTGTGGCACCCCTTTAAGTGGTGCTGGCTGGCTAGCCAGATGACTAGCCGTGTCCACCGCAGCTAGCTAGCTAGCTAGCTAGCTAGCTAGGTCCGCCCCGAGTCAACTCGTGGGAGCTGCGCGCAGAAGGGGGCGGCAGCGGCGGCTGGCCATCACACAGCAGCAGCAGCAGCAGCAGCAGCAGAAGCAGAAGCACTAGCTACGGCTACTAAGTGAGCCCGCAGCTGCCGGGCATTTGTGTACAGTGTGGGTGCGGCAGCTCTTCAGCTGCGGTGTCAGTAACGCTTGGGCGTTTTCTTGTCTCCATCTTACTTGTTTTCTGGAGCAGGCCACGAAGCAGCAACTAGTTGTGTACGAATTAGTTCGCTAGCTAACAAGGCAGCTACTAGCTAGCTAGCTAGCTACGGGATGCAACCAGCTATTTCGAGCATGCGGAAAAACGGTAAAAGAGTTCAGTTTCTAATCAAGTTTGCTTCCCCTTAGCTAGCTAGCTAGCTGCCGGGCTGTGCCCATGTATACTGTCGAACTCTCGCTGCGCAGAACGGCGCTGCTGCGCCGGGAATGGAGGGGCAGCTGCTGCTGCAGCGTTTCTGCTGCCTCTCAGCAGCAACTGAGTTGTAGTGCGGTTTTGTCTTGGGGAGGGAGGTGCGGGGCACGTGGGCCTCTGGAGCCGCAGCAGGTAGTGGTGCAGCTGCTGCTGGTGAAGCCGTTGCCGGTGCTGCGTGTAGCTGCTGCAGCTGCTCTTCACTGCTGCTGCTGCTGCTGCCGAAGGCGTCGTTCGGCGGTGGCAGCGTCAGCGAGAAGGAAGATGCCGCCGACCTGTACGTACACCTCACGGCCTCCTGGCAGGGATCGCACCTCGTGTAGTGCCACAGCGCCTTCACTTCTGTAATCTTCCTTAACTGCATCAGCTGGAGAAGCAGACGCCCTCTGAGGCTCCTGTGGGGCCTTGTCAGGGCCCCCCTTTGGCTGTTTACCCGACGAGGGGTCCCCAACCATGTTTGCTGCCCGCAGGCTGTACGGAAGCAGCTGGTAGTAAGCAGCGGGCTAGAGATTGAGAATTACAGTTCTGTTCTTCTAAATAAATGAGACAAATCTGAACAGTAAAAGCAACTGCAGCCGCTGCTACTCGCTACGCAAAGCAGCTCCAGCTGCGGGCCTCACTGTGGGGCCCCTGCCAAAGCCCCAACTGCAAAGAGCCAGTGGACCGCGTTCTTCTTCACCGCAAACCAGTGGTTTACACCTTGTTGCATATTCTTCAAGAAAAGACTGTTTAGAGGCTCTTAAAATTCAAGCGTTGCCGACATAAGAAGCAGCCCCCGCCACATTCCCTGCTAGCTGCAGTCGCCTCTAGGGGCGCTGTGCTGCAGCCGCATTAACGCTGCAGCGTTGTTGGGCAAATAGCACAAGCAATGTGTGAGTAATCTGAATGAGGCTGCACTCCTTAGGAATGGCCTCCTCTAACGTGCGCAGCAACGCCTGCGCATCTACTCCGTGCAAATATGGCTGAACAGGAAGCCACGCCCACGAAATATGTCCGCAAAAAGTGCGGGCACTTGCCACACTGCCACAAAGCTGCCTAGAAGCAAGCCGTGGGCTCCTCTGGCTGGCCACGTCGCTGCGACCCCCGCCCAGGCCCAGCCAGTTGTTCAAATCACTACTATTACAAGTACTTAACTCAAAATTTCCCTCACAGCTAGCTGATTGTGGGCTGTCCCCAGCGCCAGATGGGCTACCCCTTCGCTCTCCTGCCCCGAGACTCCCTCCCCAGCCAGCCCAACTCGTGTGAAATATAAGTTTGATCAGAAATTTCAAGGAGGCTGCACGTGGCCCTCTTCTGGCTCCGGTTCCTGCAGAGTTCCTCGGGACGGCCACGAGCCTCTGGGTCGCCCGGTGGCCCTGCAGGCCGCCCTGGCCGCAAAAATAACAATTTCTTTACAATTCCTGTTATGTTCATATGTGCGCGAACCTCTATTTTCGGTTATGCGGAGTTGAGCGCATGCACAACTCTGAAGAGTCTACCGTAGGATGTGCTGTAGGACAGTGTCGTCCCGCTGGCCCCCATTTTTCATGCACAATAAAATACATCCAGCGCCTTGCTCGCTCCCCGCATTTGATTCCAACTAGACCTATTCTCTTCACTGTCAACAGAAACATGACAACACCGCTCGTGCGTACGATCAACTTCGAAAGACAAGGCATCACTTTGCATACGTGCATACATGTGCGTACACATAAGTGTAAATATGTTATATATATATATATAGTAGACACGCTTCACAACGAATTCCACAAATTTGTGCAGGTAGAGTGCATATGCAAAACATCACGGGCATGCGCATGCACATGCATGTTTTGATGAACATGCATGTGAACGCAAATACCTTGCACGCGCATTCCAAGTGCATCGAAGCTGCATGGAGAAACAACGAAATTCACGCACTCTCATGCACGTGCGCTGCAACTAAGGCGCCGGCGAGCTGAACCGCAAGGCAGCAACTCCCTCGAACTAAAACTGCGACAAACTCCTCAAAATTTCGCCCCAAAGCTCAGTGAATCCGCTGGAGCGGTCGGGCGTTGCGCTGCTTGGCGCCCCAAATGCATTGTTTGCTTTGTGTTTCAGGGTGTTGGGTTTACGGCCTCGGACTGGGTTGATTACACAACTCAGTTCACGCTGTGCAACCCGTCCACCAAAAGACAGGCTCCGTCAAGTCGCCACTGACGGCGCGTGGACATGAAAGAACCCTCAGTACACAGCACGCGAGCGAATGATCCACATGCCGCTTCCGCTGCTGCTGCTGCTGCTGCTGCTGCTCCTGCACCCAGCCGCTCCGCTGAGGCGGCGTCTCCTCGCTTTTGGCGTGCTCTGGTCTTTTGCGGTAAATTTGCGGAGATCCAGCGCCAGAGTGGCTGCTGCTGCGTTCCCCTCCATGCGTTTCTGCTGCAGCAGCATCAGACGCCAGACCGCATTTCATTGCTGCGGCGACCTGTATTAAGAAATAGCCGAAAGAGGAGACCTTTGTCTCGGCTCTGTGGCGGCTTATGCATCTCTCTTTGGCTGCAGCGGCAACCAAAAAAAGACAGAAGAGGAGGCAGCGAGTTCTACGCTCAGACCCGGCAGTCCATCTCTTTAGGTATGGGACCACCAGTGATTCCGCCTGCGTCGGAGCGCCGCCTGTGAGGGAGGCGAGGAGGGACGAAGACCAGTATCAGCAGCAACCGCAGCAGCAGCTGGGTCATGCATTCATGCACCGCGACGACAAAGGTGTATAGATAAAATAGCTACTGGCGCTGCCTCTAGAAAAGGCCGCAAACATGGGTTTCGTCATGCTGCGAGCGCAGTCGTAGCTAGGTTAACTTTGCGCCCTCTCTGCTTCATTTTGATCGCTTTTCTTCTTCGGGCGCCTAAGTTGCAGGACGTTGGGCACAGTTTCCGGTATAAGCTCCGGGGGCGGCGAAGGAGATCTCCAGTCGGGAACAAATGCCAAGATGTCGCTAGGTGCGACTGCGGGTGAGTAGTACATTTCGTCCAGCGAGAGCTCCTCTGACAGTGCGGTAAGCTTGCCCTCTGTCAAATCAATTTTGGATAAATGTATTCTGCTCACGGCTAAAAGGAGTTCCTCGTCAGAGCCAAAGATGGCTCTGCGTCGCAGCGCTGTCCATAGAGCCTCAAGGAAGATGTCCTGAACTTGCTTTTTCACATCTTCTTCAGTCACAGAGGCCAACGAATCTACAACTGATTTGTAGTATTCAATTTTCTTTCTCTCGCTGGCTATGAATGAGAGCGCCGCCAGCTCCTTGCTGACCTGGCTAGGAAACCACCGCCGAGAAGTCGCAAGACGAGCCAGGGCCTCTTGCAGTTTCTGCACGTTGGCCTCTGCAGTGGTCAGCCGCTGCTCCGCCGTTTCCCTCAGGCCAACAGTGGCATCCCAGCGGGCAGTGGATATTTCCAGCTGCTCTGGCGAGCTGGGGCCGCCCACAACGGCGGACAGCAGCGTCTCCAGCCCGTCTTGCTGAAGGAACTCGATTAGCTGCATAGTTACGAGGCTGTCCGCTGCTTTGCGTATGGCAAGGCGCAGCTGGAGGCCGGCCTCAAGTATGCTTTCAACTGCCGTAAGCAGGTCATCCGCCATGGGAGAGAAGTGGCGGCTGTAGTACCGGTGTTGCACTGCGTCTTGTGGGATTTTGGAGAAGAGGCCGGGCCCGAATCTCGAGGCTTTAGCCAAGACCACAGCAACTGTTTCTTTGCTGTTCAGCATCTTCTCATTTAAGCGCGAAATTTCAGCTAAGCTGTACACCAGCGGGTTTTGCGCCCGTTCCACTAGCGTTTCCTTCAGCTGTTCCACCTTCCGCTCGCACTGTTTCACCTCCACTTCCAAGTCCATGTATTTCTCCTGCAGCTTCCCGCTCTGGTGCTTCAGCCGCGACTTCTTGTACATTAAGTCCTGCAGCACTGCCTCGGCCCGACGCACGTGTCGCTTTTTGGCCTCCATGTACAAGGAGTCGAACACGACCTCTTCAGAACCCTTTTTCCTCGGGGTTCCCGGCTGCTCCCCCTCGGGAATCCACGCCCGGCTCCGCAGCTGATTCAAAATGGAGCGCGCCAGCCCTGTTTCTGCAGTTTTCACGCTCAAAGCGTGTTCTTCTGCTAAGACCGTCATCAGCTTGCCCTCCACGCGCAGCAGTTCCTGCTTCAACTCTAGCAGCTCCTGCTCCTCGGGATACAGCTGGATGTCCTTCAGAACCTCCTCGT